GATTGAAAATCTGCTAAAAACGTCACGAAGCAAAGTTTGACAAACTTGTTTGTAATTAGACATTTTATCTATCTCGTGAATCAGTTCTGTTCATCAACATCTTAATTTCTTCATTGTGCTTTGACCTCTGTCTATAGCCAGGCTGAAACTCTTGATTTGAATTATGACTACAATATGAGAAAGATAAACACAACCTGCACGGATTTTCTAAAATGTGCAACAAAATTCAAATGTGGAAGGACTAGAAAAGATGTGGAGGAGATTAATAAAGCGGTTACCCTTTGTGATTTTCATGCATTCCACCTGTCACCTGGCTGGCTGGATTGTGTTGAGAAACTGGACACCACTTGTGTTCGAGAATGGGACCCGTTCCCAGATCTTGAAGGAACTGAAGAGGAGAATACGGTGAAACAGAAAGAGGCTTGTAGAAACTTTTTTGGTAAAGACAACTGTATGGAAAAGGAGATGTTAGATATGTGTAGCTTGGACTTGTGGGAGGATATCAGGAAGGTAAGAGTGTTTTCATGCAAATAAGTCAGATGAAACAAAAAAAAACATTTTTCAGCACTACTTGGCAACGAACAAAGTCATCAAAGCATGCGATTTCGATTAATTTTTTGTCTAATTGGATGATAAAATCTTTGTGAATTCTAGTTCTTGATGTTTCACACAGAATGAAATTCAGGCCTTCATGGAAAAAAGTTATTATTGTCAGATTTAAAAAAGTGACACCTGAGAATTTGAAAACTTTCTCGTTTTTTGATTTACGAAAAAGCGCGGCAAAAACATAATTTCAGACTTTCGGCTCGCTCGAGTCAGTTTCCCATTTAAGTTTAGTTTTTTGCTGAAAATGGATTTTAGAGATGCTAGCGACCATTTTTATACTAAGAAATCAAAATTTTGTTCAGAAAATCCCACTAAATTCACATGAACTAATTTGTTATTTACAGTATCCGTTTTCGGAGTGATCAAAGTTTGACAAACTTCTGTACAAACACATTTCATCTGTCTCATCAATCAAGTTTTCATCACAATGTTTCTCCGCTGTGCTTTGACCTCTGTCTATAAAACATTTTGTTTCGTTTTCGATATTGACTTCCAGAATAATGACCATTATGATACTACTCGCTTTCTCTTTTATTGGACTTGTTTTTGGATACGATGCGAGTAAATGTACTTCCTCTGAACTACCCATAGCTATGAAATGTAACACTGTAAGATTCATGATATTCAGAATATGAAAGGCATTCTGTTTTTAGAAGCACAAAGAACTGAGAAGCCAAGGTGTAACTCTTGACTTGGATGATGTCAAAAAATATGACAAAGCTCAACAAAACCTGCGAGGATTTTCTAGAATGTTCGACACAATTCAAATGTGGAGGAACTACAAAAGATGTGGAGAACATTGATGAAGCAGTCTCTTATTGCCACGTTGTTGCATTCCATGTGTCACCTGGCTACCTGGATTGTATTGGTAAAGTAGACACCAAGAATTTCACATGTGTCCAAGGATGGAATCCGTTTCCAGATTTTGAAGGGACTGAAGAGGAGAAGATGAGAAAACAGAAGGAGGCTTGTAGAAACTTTTTCGGGAAAGACGGCTGCCTGGAAAAGGAGATATCCGACATGTGTAGCGTGGAGTTATGGAAGGATTTCAGGAAGGTAAGAGAGTAGAACCTGTAATAGAAGGGCCCCCACACTATACAAGATATCAAAATGTGTGAAGTGACAAAACATTCCTATTTTTATGATGGACAATTTATCAGTTGACAACGTTCTTATAACTTCGAAAGAGACCGAGAAAAATTGGCTCAATGTTAAAATTTCGAAGCCCTTCTATTACAGTTTTATGATATCAACGTTTTTAACACTACTTGGCACTAAACAAAATCATCGAAGCATGCGATTTTGATTAATTTTTACTAATTCGAAATTGGATAATAAAATCTTTGCCTTTTCAAGTTCTTAATTTTTCTCACAAAACAGATTTTCATGGTTTTGAAATGTTACGCAAATCTTATCGCCTTGCCATATCTCCTCATGGCAAGACTGTTTTTTTCAGGTCATCAATCTCTTCTTCTCTGTTTTCGGTTCCTCACGTCATCTGTTTGTGAACCAAAGTGTCTCTGTATCATTTCTTCCCTTCAGTTTCCTTCCTACTTTGTGGTTTTCCTTCGAATTAGTTTTTCATGTTCCTCAACATCAGTTCATTTTTTCTTGACGTTTTTTAATCGATTGTTCCAGACATGAGTAATTTTTACCAACTATCCATCACTTTGATTTTTCTCACAATTGCTACAAATGGAACCAACCAGCTGCCAGGATGTTCGCCGAAAGTTTTGGCGCCCCAGGTTTCGAAATGCATGAAGGTAGCTACTATTCAAGTTTTTTCAAGTTTCATATCTTGCAGATTCTCAAACATCTCGTGGAGCTTGTCTCCAGTACCCCTGATTATAAGAAAATTGGGAATGACGTCATAAAAGACTGCAATGCATTCAGAGAGTGCTCAACAATTGTGAAGTGTGTGAACAATGCATCGTTTGAGAATATCATTGAAATGTTGTACAATAATTGCGATGCTGCCGAGTACTTTATCAAAGACTTCCCGAAGTGTGACGATAAGCTGGAGGGATTGAATTCCACGTGTCTAGAGGAGTGGAACCCTTTCAAAGATACTCCGATCAATGAAACATTTGTAGAACTTCCAGATGAACAAAAAGTATTTTGTGAAGACTATTACGGAAAAGATGATTGTGTTAAGAATCATATTGTTGAGACTTGTGGAGAAAAAGAATTTGAGATTTTCCACAAAGTAAGTTTTTAATATTAAGAGGATTAGGCGAGATTTTCATATTTCAGCACCAGAAAAATGTTGTGAAAATCGTGGGTGATTGCCGATTGGAATAATTAAACCTTTTTCAGTTAAAGGAACATCTATATATTTTTTAATGTTAATTAGCGTCCCATTCCACACAATAAATGATTCATTTTTGAGATGATATCATTATCGACATAAAACGCTAAGACTTACAGTACATATGAGCCAAACTTCATTTAAAAATATCCATTTTAGTGGAATTTCCTAGTTTTGGAGCCCGCCCAAACCGTCAACTTTGAGCTCAATTGATTCGATTCCTGTGAAAGATATAAACAATTTGCATCAATTGACAAGTTTTTGATATCTTTTACAGGAATCGAGATAATTGAGCTCAAAGTTGACTATACGGGCGGGGTTCTATTAGAGAAAATATTCAGAGATTTTCTGTTTGGTCTGAAAATGTGAGAAGTAATGAACCCTTACAACTTTCTTTTTTTCAAATTGTTGTTCTTTGTTCTACTCTCTGTTATGTCGAATCCCTGTTCTCAGGGTGACCAATTTCTTATCAAATGATATTTTTAATTAGCCTCTTCTCCTCACATCACCAACCGAGGCCAACCTCTTTTATCATCTTAATTTTTTTTTGTTGTTGTTACGTATCGATATATCATTCAACAGTCTTCCAAAGATTTGGTTATATTCTCTCTGACGTCCTCATTGGAGTTCTATCTTTATTTTTAGTACTTGCAAAGCTGTCGAAAATGATGTACTTTCTCCGAATCACGTTTCTCTCGATAATCTCTATTTATGCCGTTCTTGGAGTTGACGAACTGAATTGTATTCCAGCTGTTCGAGGGAATGGACACTGTGTCGGTGTAAGTTAGTATTTATACTCATTGTCGGGTAACCTGGGTGTTTTCAGGTATTCCGAGGCGCCGAAAAGAACATTCTCCCGATTAACCTATCTGTACCTGAAAACATTGACAAATTCGAGAAGAATTGCGAGGAATTCAAAAAATGCTCTACCGAAATGAAATGTGGTATTTCGAAGAATCTCGCCAACACCATTGACCTAATCAATGTATTCTGCGAGGGTTCACTATGCATTGCAAAAATGGAGCAAAGAAATTCTACATGTTTTCGAGAAGTGAAAGCTCCACAGTTTCGCGCTACAGACAAAGAAGCTATCAAAATTAGTTGTAAAAACATATTTGATAAATACAGCTGCATGGAGAAAGAGGTTACCGAAGTATGTGGTGCACATAATTGGGAACGGTTCAAGAAGGTAAGATGAACATACAGTGGCGAACGTTAGTGAGTAACTTTGCTCAAACTTGTCCAATCATTGAAAACTTTTATGTTAAATGTAAATGAATTTCCGGAAAAACGTTATATAAATGTTTTGAAACTCAATCGAGTTTAGCTATAACTCGGCTCAAAATAGTTCAAATTCTTTTAAATTTTGAGAAAATGTGTGTCTTTAATTGTTCTACAATATACATACAAAACTTTGTGTTTTGGGAACAATTTTTTTTGCTTGTTTGTTTTACCCGTCTTTGGTACACAAAAAATCTAAACTACATAAATTTTTGTATGTATATTGTAGAGAAATTAAAAACACACATTCTCTAAAAATTTGAGCAAATTTGGATCATTTTGAGCCGAGTTATAGTCAAACTCCTTAACCATACCTTTTATGCTCCAGTGAACACAACTCAAGAGCAAGTGTTCCAAACCGCTTCAAAATTTTTTCTGTATATGTTTGATCTACATCAACCATGTTTCATTACAAAGCCAATCTGTAAAGAAAATTCTGACGGAAAATATTTTCTTTCTTCTGAAGTCATCGTCACGTCTGTGAAGATTCAGAAGACACAAAAATCGATTGAGTTTCACAAAATTTATATAACGTTTTATTGGAAATTAAGCTACATTAAAAAAAAGTTTTCGATTATTATACAAGTTTGAACAAAGTTATGAACAAAGGTATAAAGTGACACTCACCAATGTTCCCCACTGTATATGTTATTAACTGTTTTATGAACATTTCAGACATTGTTGGCCACGAACGAATTAAAAGGAACATGCCAACTTGATTGAGATGCTCTAACAAGCTCTCTGAAACTAGTTATTCCCACTCTTCGTGCTTATGCTTCTCAACCACACCTTCATCTGTGAAAAAGATCCATAAATTTTTCAAATTATCCGAATGTGAATGGGTAAAAATTATGTCTAAGTTAAGATTTTTCGATTTTTTCAAGTTTTGCCACTGTTTTAATGAAAATTTCGTACTTTGCGCTTGTTTCCATAAAAATACTTCAAAAAAGTTCATTTTAGGTCGTTTTTTCCATGAACAACACTGTTTTTGCTGTTGTAACTGTGTAATTTCATTTTATTAAGCTAATATTTGATTAATTTAGGCTTAGGAACAAAAGAATTATAGAAAAATGTATAAAAAATGACATTAACTGAAAATTTCAAAAAATGATGAAAAATTTTCAAAGCACTAAATTTTAGTGGAAACAACCACAAAACTTGAAAAAAGCTGGAAATCTTAACTTGGGTATAATTTTTTATTTTGTGCCCCCCCCCCCTTTTAACTTGGGCCCCCCTTTTCTCATGGGCCCCCCTTTTCTCATGGGCCTCCCCCTTGTCATAAAGAGCCGAATTTTTTTCGTAGATCTAGAATTCATGTTTTTTTGTCGGATTCGTTGTTTTTTTTTGAGAATTCGCGAGAATTAAGACTACATTTGAAGAAAGCACCACGGCTATAAAAATTGTGGGTATGATGCACATGTGAGAAAAGATCTGATCCAGTGAACACAAAAAAATTTATGTCAAAAACTCAAACGAGGATTCGGTGTGATTGTTGTTATGTTCAAGGAACTTTTTTTAAAAATTAGTTCGAAATGCGGTCTAGCATTCTGAACATGACTTTCTAGGCCACAGTTGTTGGTTTTCCGGAAATAGTCTAACATGCACTTGATCTGTTTTCTAGGCCATGTTCATGGTGGCCGAACTTTCGCTATATGAGTTTTAAGGTCGCCACATTTTGTCGTCTAAAAATGGCTTGATTTCAACTGGTGTGTTTTCTAGGCGATTTTAACATGGCAGTCTGACAACGATCATTGTTCAGTAGTATTTTTAAAAACAATCTATCTATTTTCTGCCAATTTATTTTAGAAGGTATTATGGTAGTGAATCATCATCTTGTTTTTGCTTCATCCAACGATATCAACAGCCAAACCTGCAAAGTATGCGGCTTGTATCACGATAACGGCTTGTATCACGAGGTTTCCATAACAACTTAATGAACTTTAGTTTCAACAACATCGAGTGGAAAGAAATCTGCAAGATTAGCTGATATTAAATTAATTCGCTATACGAAACTTGTTGAGCCAGTTCTTGGAAATGTCGCACTTTCCGCAGGAACGGCTTAAACAAATGAAGAAAGTTCATGGAAGTGGCGACACATGGCTTGCACTTTAAGTCATGTGAAAAAAGATTTCAGCCGGAAGGGTGGCTCACGGAGAAAACCCTCTAATCTTAACCAGTTGAACTTTTGTTAGAGATGTGTCTCGGTTTGGAATTGATGAGAATTTGCAAAACTTTAAAACATCATAATTTTTAGGTATGAAGAAAAATTATAGGGCACGCTCTCCCACAGAACAATTCCGAACTGCAAATTAATTTTTGATCTACAGAAAAAAAGTTTGGCGCGATCACAATTGCAGGTCTAAAACCATAATTTCGGAATTTTTTATCTGATTTTGTGGAGTTCCAAGATGACTCAAATTATTCTTAAAAAATTAATTAGTGGTTATAGATTCATGTATGGTTTTTTTCCGGAAGAAAAAATGTCAAAAATGGTCATTTTTGAAAGTTTTTTACAGAAAAAATCTATCTCCTCTTTCAGTTTTTGACATTTCTAGGAGTTCTATATCTCAAAAAAAAACCGCAATTACTTTCTCTACATTTTCTATATAGATGAATTTTTAAATTGTCTGATGAAACTTTTTTTATAATTCAAAAAACAACTCAAAAATGCTATTTTGTGCAATTTCATGAGGTTTTTTAATTATAAAAAAAAGTTTTATCAGACAATTTAAAAATTCATCCATAAAAATGTAGAGAAAACAATTGCGGTTTTTTGAGCTATAGAACTGCTAGAAATGTCAAAAACTGAAAGAGGAGATAGATTTTTTCTGTAAAAAACTTTCAAAAATGACCATTTTTGACATTTTTTCTTCCGGAAAACGACCATACATGAATCTATAACCACTAATTAATTTTTAAAGAATTATTTGAATCATCTTGGAACTCCACAAAATCAGATAAAAAATTCTGAAATTATGGTTTTAGACCTGCAATTGTGATCGCGCCAAACTTTTTTTTCTGTAGATCAAAAATTAATTTGCAGTTCGGAATTGTTCTGTGAGAGAGCGTGTAGGGTACAATCATATCGTTAGATACCGTAAAACCTCTAATAGAAGGGTTGCTAACATTTTACTTTGAGCCAATTTGTCTGGGTTCCCGTCAAAGATATAAAAAAGTCGTCAACTAATAAATTGTTTGTCATAATATCAAAAGGGTTTTATGAGTTGACTCTTTTCTGATACCTTGACCAAAAAAAATTATCTTGAACTTAACAGAGGGGAGGGGGTGCCCTTCTATAAAAAGTCTTGCGGTTTCTGGGTATACCTGTATTCTGAGATCTGGGTGATCCTGCCAAATTCGAGAATATCAGGACTCCGTTCCTTGTATACAGCCTATCAACGCTTTCGACTTATCATCCGAATTTTCATGATCTCTATTACCCAAGACCTGCTTGTAGCTTGAACCTCGATAGTCCAAGAAGTACCGTCAGCAACTTGGAATGTTCGAAAATTATTTTCCCTCAAATTTCTCTCTCCAAAAACATGAGAGTAGTGTTCCATTTTCTTGATATATGCTATGTTATATCTCTTTATTAATTCAATGAGAGCTCTTTTTCTTATTTTTTTCTGCAAATCTTTTTCTGTTCATAACAAATTCTGTTTTTCGAATACATTCTCAACTAGAACGTCACTAACCACTCATATTGGATTTTCGGAGGCTACGATAGCTATAAAACGAAGATTGTGTGTGTCTCATACCAAGTCACGATTTTTTTTAAATCCCGTTCAGAAGTCCAGGAAATATTAGACTCTTAAATATCACCAGCAGCCGACTGAGACGTCGGCGCCAGTGTGTGGGACGGCGGAAGAAAGGATACACGGATTAGTTGCGAGATTGTCCATGAGAGCAGTTCTTGTTCAGCGTTCCATCAGATGTGGGATGTGTTGGTGTGCAGATTGTTTGATCTCGAAATTTGGAAAGAAAATTTTATTGACAGATTTTTTGATGTGTCAGAAGGCGTCTGAAGAGAAAACTTGCAAACCGTGAATGAAGTCCAGAGATCAATTATTTACTTTTTTGGAGTTTCTGTGCAATAATACTTTTTCAGATTCGTTAATGAAACTCTTTCAAGATGTCTAAACGTATTCAACTGATAAAATATTTATCATAACGTCGAAAATATTTCATCAGTTGGTCACTGTTTGATATCTTACATTGGAACCGAGATATTTGGGCTCAAATGTGATGGTTTGAGTGGTTACGGTAACTCATGATGTCCGCAAATACAATACAAATGCTCTGATACAAGCCCACCCGATACTTTTGATATCAACTATCTCGGTTCCAATAAGAAATAGCAAGAAATGTTCAATTAATAAATTGTTCATCATAATCATACCAATAGTTTATCAGTTGACAGATTTTAGATATCTCTCATCGAAACCGGGATAATTGAGCTCAAAGTTCAAGTATACGGTGCGCTTCTATCAGAGTTTTTTTCGGCAAAAAACTTCTCTCATTACTCCTGTTCTTCTTGAAAAAATAACATCTACCCTACACCACTAATTAGAAGTTTCTGATCTCTTGAACACCCATTGAAAACAAAAACACCTCATTAGACACCTGACATGAATCTTGTTATCGATACCTCTGCATAAAATCTAATCATTTTTGAGACGAGCAGTCTCCACCTCCTTTTAGTTCCATTTTTGCTTTCCTCACGTGCTTACAACGCTCCTCCTCTTTTTTTGGCTCCGCCCAATCAACACTTTTGGCTCCGCCCAATCAACACCCTTTTCAGTTGGATCATTCTTCATAATTTCTCCAGTTAGCTATCTTGAAATACTGAAAATTATTTTAGGGTAGCTATGAAACTGCTGCTGAGCCTTTTGATTGGCTCGGTCGCTGCCATCGGGCTCGATTACGACAACATCCTTCTCGAGTCGTCTCCTGGAGTCAACATGTTCCGGGAGTACAAGCCACGATGTACCAAACGACATGAGATGTACATCGATATGACTTGTATCCAGGTTAGTTATAGGGGTTGAGTTTACTGTAATTCTTTTTTTGCTTTCAGATGTTCGGGAACTTTTCTATGGAGATCAAGAAAACTGCTAAGACCATGGACCCATTCATTGCGTTTGAGCACAAAAAGACCTGCAAAGACATCAAGCGATGTTTCTTTCCTCTCTCGTGCTCTCCAATCGACTACGTCAAAAAAGCCGCTCACACTCTCCAGCTCTACTGCGGACTATACAACTACAGAGCCTCCGATTTCTTCGCTTGTGGAACCAAGTTGACTTTGGCAAAGTCCCAGTGCCATCACAACTGGGATCCATACCCATCTGCTCTGGAGAAGGAGGAGAATCCAGCGAGAAAAGCTGCACTGGTCAAGCAGTCCTGCGACAATATCTTCGGAGAGGACAACTGCATGGAACACGATGTCACCGTTGTCTGTGGAGAGAAGAAGTGGATCGATTTGAGAGATGTAAGCTGATGAAAAGCAAAATTTTTAGAACTTTTCTATTTTCAGCGTCTCATCGAGCTCAACCCGGTCATGAACAACTGCTCCTTGGACAACAACCCGGTATTCCAGGCCATACCTACAACCACCGAGAAGCCATGGCTCCACGATTTGGGGGATCCGTTCGCAGATGAATAATTTCTTCTCTCTTTCTCTCTGATCTCTTCACTGATTTGATATCTCCAGTCTGTATTGTCTCTAACTAAAAACAAGTGATACCGTGATAAACTTCCTGCTCGAATAAAGATCTAATATTTATAATGAGAATCTTGAAAAGAAAATGGTGTGAAAAGCGAAAACAACTCTACTAATTATCATGACTGGTCGCTGTCTGGTCATGCTCTCAAGGGAGAGCAGTTGGCGTGGAGTTTGATAAACAAGAACAAGAGATAGAAGAGTGGATATATCAAGTTTTCACACAGAAAAGTTGTTGGTTTTTGCACGATTGAGATGTTTCAAACTGATCGTGTAATTGTTTTATTTCGAAAGAGCATGATTCCAAATTCCTACCTATAAATTTCGTGGTCGAAAATTTTCCATAACTTCCTTTTTGAGAAAATTTGTTTCTGAAATTGGTCCCGCCTTTTTTAAAAAGTTTTTTTTTTTTGAAAAATCAGAAAATCAAATTCTCATCAAGTTTGGTTTTTTTTTGTTTTGCTGCTATTCGTTGTCCAAGAAAAAGAAACAACTGTGAATGCTCTATCAGAAGCTCGCCATCTACCAGAAGCTCGCCAGAGCTCGCACTTTGAGCTCAATTATCTCGGTTAACTCAGGGCTTTCTCAGGAATGAACATAATTGTCTCAAGGTTGAAAGTTAAAGGATCCTTTAATACAGATTCTAATTATTGTTCATCTAGTCATTTTTCTTTTCTGAAATTTCACAATGTACACTTTTAAAGTTTACAGAATGACTTTCTGGATAATCACTATTTTTGTCATCGCCATTTCATCGTCCACATCCCATGGAGCAAGTCTTGCCACGGAGGAAAGCAAGGATCACAACTGCACTCTCGGAGATGGTCTGAAAGCTATATCTTGTGTTTTTGTGAGTTTTTTTTTGTGAATCCTTTATATTGGACCAATGTCCAAAGGTACATAAAAAAGAACATCTACCGTAAAACATGTATTAGAAGGACCCGTCCTTCTATTTTTCCGAAGTACCTCCAGAGGGTCCTTCTGTTAAAGGTGTCACTTTAATACAAGTTTTACGGTAGTTCTTAGAGTACTTTGGTTCCAGGGGCACATGCGGTTTTGTGGCATAAGATTTTTGTTCGAAATTATGAGCTCAACTTAGCCATAAACCCCAAGATCCCATGTACTCTTTGAACCAATGTACCATTTCCCGATGTATCCTTGGATCCTGAGTCTTTTTTTAACAGATTCAACCAATTTTTCAGAAAATGCAAGATTTCTTGGAGAAGGTTGAAGACCTGAACCTTGACAATAAAGCAGAAACCGCAAATTTCAAAAGTTCGTGTGACTCTCTCCGAGAATGTTTCACTTCTCTTGACTGTAAAACTTCGTCAACTGATCAGGAAACTTCCGATATCTCAGGCATGATCAAAACGTATTGTGATACTATTGTCTACATCTCCACTGATTTTGTGGAGTGTAGTGATAAACTGGAAGACAAGTCGTCTCAATGTTTCGAGGACTGGGACCCTTTCCCAGAAGATGTTTCAAAAGAAACGGATCCGGTCAAAAAAAAGGAGAAGAGAAAATTGGCGTGCAAGAATTTCTTCGGGAAGGACAACTGTTTGAAACACGAAATTACCACTATGTGTAGTGAGGAAGAGTGGAAAGGATTCAAAAATGTGAGAGTTTTTAAAATCAATTTTTGATTCTAAAATTCTGAGTTTTCAGCATTTCATCTCACTGAGCAATATGACAAGGCAATGTGATTTTCATGAACTCTGACAACTGTGACAGTGAAGGATACCAATCCCCGCATCGATAAAACTATGAAAGATTCTAAATATATTTTCTCAAAATCCTTCTTTTTTTTTCGTCATAATCCTCGATAAAAACGGAAAATTTCTAATCCAACGCGTCGCCTTTGAATGATCATATCCCATTCATCTCCTTCATGCCCCCGTCTTCCCCCATGAAATCGTAATACACATATGCATAAAATAATGAGCTGTATGCAAAGAAAATACATCTGTGAGAAATAACAAATGACCAACCATCGTTTTTTTTTCTCAGAAAAAACTATATAAGCAAATTAATTAATAAGGTGTTTTCTGTTAATTAAAACAAAATATGAAAAAATGAAATCAGCAGACAGTAACCACATAAATCTGATTTCAAACTGAAAAAAAAACGAAAATCTCCCAGGCTCAGAAGGGGGGAAAACCAGCTTATTTTGTAAAAACTGCCAAGTTTGAGCTCAATTATCTCGGCTCCTATGAGAGATATCAAAAATGTGTCAATTGATAAAACATTGTTGATTTTATGATAAACAATTTATCAATTGACAACTTTTCATATCTTTCCCAGGAACCGAGATAAATTGGCTGAAAGGTAAAAGTTAGGGATCCCACCCATTACAGTTACAAATTCGACTTTATCCAGCTGACTTGGCACAAAATTTCTTGTTTCTTGGCACAAAAACATCTGGAAAGTAAGTTTGTGCATCTTAGACAAGAGCTGGGCATGTGATAAGGCAATATGATGATACAATTTTTCGAGAAAAATACCACTTTAGCAACTGGTATAGAATTACCGGGAGTGGATGTAGCAGAAAGGCCCCCAGCTTTTAACTTTCAATTTATCTCGGTTCCTATGAGATTTATAAAAGATATGTCAACTGATAAAATACTGGTGATATTATAATAAAAATGTTGTCAGTTGACACAATTTTAATATCTTGCATAGGAATTGAGATGTTTGAGCTCAAAGTTGAAAGTGTGAGGGCCCTTCTATCACGGGTATCTGATTGTGAGAACTAAACAATTCTCTCGAAGGTACATATACCAGAAAATATTCATTCATTATAGGTAAAAACCATATTTTTCCGGTTTATTGAAACAGTATACAAGTTTCATAAATAATGACAAAGTTTGTTTTTTTTCCCTCCGTTTCAGCCGGGCTCAATAAAAGTTGAGATGTCGAACACTTGTTTATATAAACTATCACCGGAGCGTTCCCAAACCTACATTATAATCCGATTATCCGATTTCCTGTTTATTTATTCCTACCTCCTCTGGCCACCCCGGTGGTACCACCCATCCTAGACCCTATCTCATTTCAAATCTCTGGGACCCAAACCCCATTTTCGAGGCTCTCCTATCCTTTGCCCCTCATCTCCGCTTTTCGACACTTCTCACATAGAAGACACCCCCAGACGGGAAGAAAAACGGGGGGAGCTCCTTCTACATACACTCCGTCGTCTTCTCTTGTCCATCTAGGGACACCCGTCCTTCTTCTTTCCACTCTGCGTCTCTTCAACCACGCATCACTATTTTCGATACGTCTGACCGGCTGTCCATTACAGGACAGCAGGCTGTCTCTAATGGATTCTCCACTCTCTCCGATGCTTTTCCATCTGCGTCTGCTTCTCTCTCGCTTCTCCGTCTCCCTTTCTCGTTCTTGTGCCCCCTTACAACAAAACGGGCGTATACCCTTTTGCGGGGACCCTCTTCGTCTCTTGTACATCTCTCCTTGGCTTTGCTTTTTGCAGACGGAAAGAAAAGCAGGAAATTCGATTTCCTGAAATCCGTTTTTTGCTTGAATTTTTGAATTAGGATACTGTCTAATGATGGTCGTTTTGTTCCGAAAGAGATAGAAAGACACACGTGATTTGTGTTGGTGAACGGGGGAAAAAAAGAAAGAAGAAAGAACTGTTAGTAGTGTCAATAGTGCGTTTGACTCTCCTTTTGTTTGGGGTGGATTTGTAAGTCAAATGAATTATTAGTTTAAATTCAAATTTGAAATTCCAGCTTCAATATTTTTCTTCCTAATTTTTTTGTTTAGATTTTCTCTGAACATCTCTTCCCTCTCCAGTTCCATAGTTCTAAATGGGAAACCCATAAAACCCATTTTCTCGTTTTTTTTTTGGTTTTCCCTACTCTACTACTACATAATTGTTCTCCAGTAATATCCCTAGTTTTTTCTCTATACAACTCCCGCGTTCTTTTTCCTTTGAGTCTGAATTTTGAGCCTGTGGCTTGAAGCTTACACCCTGAAACCTATAGCCTGAAGCTCAAAGCCTGAGGCTTAAAGCCTAAAGCATAATACTTCAAGCCCATAACCTCAACCCTGAAACCTTCGATACTGAACCTTAATTCTTGCAGAGTATCAATGGCGTGAATCAACAACAAAAAAGTTCTTCAATTAACCCAAAATGTCGTATTTCCTGCGAGAAATCAATGGGGACCGAGTGTGCTCGGCGAGCACACAACTTGCATCAACTATTCCAGAAGACCGGAAAAGTGCAAGAAGACTACGGAAATTACTGTACAAGTGCGCAGAGAACACGTGCAAGACAGATATCTTAAAAGTTCCGGCTCACTGTGGGAAGACAGAAACTGATGATGGTGGGGAAAAATGACCTAGCTGAAATTGGAATTTTTAAAAAATTTCAGACAAATCGCCGTCAGATCCTCAACAACAAGTTAATTTTCATGATATTCTTAACTCGAAATTAGTGGTCGGACCTCCGTCGCCATTTGCATTGGTCGCCATCGCAAAGTCGATTTTAGCACGATTCGGGAATCCAGAAGAAGCTTCGGAACGAGAGGATCGAGTGGAGGAAGAAGCAGGAACGAGTAGAGGAGATGAAGAAGGGAAACAGTATAAAAATGTGAGTATTTGAATTTTAAAAAAAAATTTAAAAATCTGAAAAATGAAAACGATTCTTAACAGATTTTCGGCCCCACACTGTCAAGTCATTTTACTGGGCTCTTTTGCAAGATATCAAAAATGTGTCAATTGAAAAATGTTTGTGATATTATGATAAACATTTTATCTGTTGACAACTTTTTTATATCTTTGATGGGTACCGAGATAAATTGGCTCGAAGTTGAAAGTTAGGGGACCCATATCTTTTTTTTAAGGGTTTTCTAAATTTATCGATATTCTAAAAAGGGATTTTTCAAAAACTTTTCAATTTCCAGACTGACCAACTAGTCGGAGCTAGTCTCACATGTATCTTCGAGGTTCTGGAACAGCTGAGTCGTCGAGACGCAGAACTCTGTGTTCAAGCTCTCGAATCTCTGCTATCTCTCATCCAATCTATGCCTATAGAAGGTCTTCAATCTGAAAACAAACTTTCCATGTCAGCAATGATCACAGTGCTCCGATCGCTTCGAGAAGATGGATGCCCATCTGTCAGTTCAAAAGCTACGTCTTGTTTGGTAGCGCTTGCAGTGGCATGTGGGGAGCCGGAATATCTGAGCAGCACAATCCGTTCGTTGTTTTGCATGAAGAAAAATCTTCGGATGAGTGCGGATTCCACCTATGATATGATACAGATTCCAGAGAATTTGAGACGATTATTATTGAAAGTGAGGAGGAAAGCGCTTGGAGGGGATAATCACTCAAACTCACCGTAAGTTTTTGTATCTATTTTGAGAAGCCCAGCAGTGTTAACAAAACTGATCTTGAGATTTTCAGACCCAACTGGTCCTTGATAGATGTTCACGACCACTCAGTTGCTAGCAGTTTTAGCTTACCATCTCTTCCGGATAGCTCTCCATGCTCAGATACTCCAGATGACGATAATCGGATCCATAGCTCAATGGCATGTGATGGAACATTTCTGTACATCCTGAACTACGTGGGACTTTATAAATTAGGAACTGGTTTAAACGAGACAATAGCCGGAAAGTTATATGCTGCAAATCAAGGGTTGAAGTCTTCGAAAAATGTACAAATGTATTTGTGTAATGGGTCATTGTATCTGCGAAGAAACTATTCATCTTGTATTTCTGTGATTGATACGGATTCGTTGCTGGATATTGGAGAGGTGATATTACCGCCAACTTGTGTTCAGCATGCACTATTTACGGATGGAACTTATTTCTATAGCGCTACGCTTATAGCGAATTCCACATTATCGGTAACAGTTTTCAAGTTCGATTAAATTATTATTTTTCGGAATTCCAGACAATACAACTCAACGATTCCTTTTCTCCTTCCAATGAGCCATCATCCAGAAAAAGTCATCGTTTAACTGATGTCAAATTCACACCGTACGGCGACATCCAGAGTCCTCACCAACTTCCAGAATACTTACCAGCCAATTTACATCGTAAGTCGAAACGGATGTTTGTAAGCCGACCTTCGCGGGCGCGGTCATAGTTTCTTTTAGAAACAATTTTTTAACGAAATGATAGAACTCGACGAGTACTATACAAGGATAATATTTGAAAATGTTTATCTCGTCTATAGACAAATTTCTGGTCAAAATAAACCGAAAAAACAAGCCCGGTCCGATACGGCACGTCATGACTCAGCCACTGTATGGCTTATAACATTGTTCATAGACAAGCCACCGTAATACAAACAATATCATTTTGTAGTACTCGTTGAGTTCTATCATATCTATTTTAGTTGGTCTGAAAATATGGTTCATGAAAGAAGCAGTGGCCCGACAAAGTACCCAGTTTACAATATGTCGAAACGTAGCATTATTTCTTTATCCTTACTGTTTTCCAGCTCAAACCGTTGATCTTCACATCACTCGAGAAATCGCATTCATTCAAGCAAGATCTGGAAAAGTATACTATGCTGGAAATGGAACTCGATTTGGGCTATTTGAAACTGGCAACAATTGGATGGAGCTGTGCCTTCCCGAACCCATTGTCCAGATTTCCGTTGGAATTGACACAATCATGTTTCGTTCTGGCGCGGGACATGGGTGGATTGCTACCGTCGACGATAAGAAGAGGAATGGAAGACTCAGAAGATTAGTTCCATCTAATAGGAGGAAAATTGTGCATGTCTGCGCATCTGGCAATGTACATGGCTATGTGACAGAAAATGGAAAAGTGTTCCTGGGAGGTCTTCACACCATGAGAATCAACGTCTCCAACTCGATGCTCTGCGGTATGGATAATGTTATGGTTGCTTCCGTGTCCCTCGGAAAGTCTCACGGAGTGGCTGTTACTCGAAACGGTCATCTGTTCACTTGGGGCCTGAACAATATGAACCAATGTGGAAGAACGGAATCTACCTCAACTACATCATCCCCAAGACACTCTGCTCGGCAGGAAATTCAAATCTGCCCTATTGGAGAACACACGTGGCTCAATGACACTCCCACTATATGCGCTCAATGTGGACTTTGCTCGGCAAGAGGTGTGGCATGCGGAAGAGTAGCTCGAATGAAAGGAACCATGTGTCATTGTGGAGCTGGAGAGTCGACATGCGTTCGATGTGGACTTTGCAGACCATGCGGGGAGATCACAGAACCCGCACAACCTGGTAGATCACAGCATGTTCAGTTTAGTTCAGCAATTGTGCAGAAAAACACACTGTTTCCTGCGCGTCTAATTCTAAGTAAAGGACCACACGACGTCAAGATTTCTAGTGTCAGCTGCGGAAACTTTCATACTGTACTCCTTGCATCGGATCGTCGGGTTTTCACATTTGGATCGAATTGTCATGGGCAACTAGGAGTTGGAGATACTCTGAGCAAAAACTCACCTCAACAAGTCAACTTGCCTGCTGATGTTGTCATTGTCCAAGTTGCTGCTGGAGCCAATCATACGGTATTGAGAGCTAATGATGGAAGTGTCTACACTTTCGGAGCGTTTGGAAAGGGACAGTTAGCAAGACCAGCTGGTGAGAAAGCGGGATGGAATGCTATTCCGGAGAAAGTACCTGGATATGGTCCTGGCTCAAATGCATTTGCTGGATGGATTGGCGCAGAAGGAGACTCGACTATCATTCACAGTCATACTGCTCTTCTTTCATCTGATAACATTCTCAAAGCTCAAATTGTTGCTAACAAAACCAATATTTTTATTTTCCCACGAGAAGTTGGAAAAGATTATATTGTGATAAGGAGGAAACTTAACTTATTTGAACATCATGCAAGCGACTATAAGTGTTGGTACACCTCCTGGGCAACAGATCCAAAACATGACATGCTCTGGTACTACAATTCAGCTGAAATGGAAATCAAAGGATATGACATCTTCAAGAAAACTGAAAAGCCTGTCGAAGAAGCATTTGATTCGTTAACCTATCTTGCCGGAACAGAATTTGCAGTTCAAGTGTATGATAGTCCAGCGTATGCAACATCAATGAGCCTTGGGATGCAACTTCTATCAGCTACATTCTCAGCAAATGTGATCAACCTTTCGGAATTTTGGAAGGAGAAAAACGGAGATAAAGATCAAGATCAAGAACGAACCGCTATGGATGGCTACTCTGTTGCAAACCGTTTCGATGGTACTGGTGGTGGATGGGGCTATTCTGCTCATTCCGTGGAAGCAATACAATTCAAAGTGTCTAAAGAGATTCGGCTGGTTGGTGTTGGATTGTATGGTGGCAGAGGAGAGTATATTTCAAAACTAAAATTGTATCGACAAATCGGAAACGAAGCTGACGAGCTGTACGTTGAGCAAATCACTGAAACCGATGAGACTATGTACGATTGTGGAGCACACGAGACTGCGACTCTTCTTTTCTCTCAGCCAATTGTGATTCAACCAAACCATTGGCATGTGGTTAGTGCGAAGATCAGTGGACCTTCTTCGGATTGTGGAGCCAATGGAAAACATCATGTGGAATGCGATGGAGTCACTTTCCAGTTCCGGAATTCTGTAGTCTCCAATAATGGAACGGATGTCAATGTTGGACAGATCCCAGAGCTTTACTATCAAGTCGTCGGTGGATCAGAGAATCGAGATGATGGAGATAACAACAAACAACTCTCGATTAGTCGGGAAATGTCAAATTTATTCTCACCAATGGCTCTGAAAAATGTAACAGCTGATGGAATTGAGAATCTTCTTATGCTTTTGGAGTGGTCGTTTAGACGAATTCAAGTGGAGAATCAAGGACAAGAAAGTGCCGAGAAGCAGTGGGAACAGGAGAGAGCAGGATTCGTGGCTCTTTTGTCGATGAAGTTGATATCCAGATTTGTGAAAACCGTGTACAAGGAGAAGGGACATCAAGATGAACCTGGAATCGCGTTTGCCAATAAACTGGTACATTTACACTCCATGCTTCTCGATTTTTTCGATTCCACGGATATCACTGACTACCAGAACCGACCGTTGATCAATAAGGAAAACAGAGACAATAAGGAGGAGAAGATTGTCGACGAAGGATATACCTTAATGCAATGCGTATCTGAAGCCGTAAGGTTGTTCGTATCCTTGTCTCATTGTTTCATGGGGTCCAGGAATCTGGTTAACGCTCATTTGTTAGCTGTGATGAACGAACGAAAGCTGATCCTAACCTCTGCCGTTATTGGGAGTCTGTCTAAAATCGATAGATTCGCTCACCAACTTCTCAGCACCACCTACAACAGTGATCGGTTTCCAATGCTATCATCATTGCTTTTGAAACATTTCAACTGTGAGAAGGAGACTCTGGCGACGCTGACATCCTTCCCGAATATTCTTCGATTCCTTTATGATCAAGCTTTTATGGTGAACACCTATGAGAACACTGCTGGTTTATCCGAAAAGATTTTGGTCAAGGTTTCTAGAGAATTAGCTATCCCTGCAGATGATGGTATGATGGGACCTGTCGTGCATCAGACGTCGTCAAGATTCCGACGACGTAGTGCTCAGCCAACGTGGGATATGTCTGATGGATGTTCGGATGCCGTTGCGTTCCGTGTGGACTCTGAAGGTGTGAAGCTCCATGGATTTGGAATTTATTTGCCACTGGAGACCGATAGAAGAAACTTCACAGGAGAAATCATGATGTTGTCTCCAGATGCATCGGAAAAGTGGACATGTCTCCTGAGAGTCACCGCTGAGATGGCTGCTGATGAGAAAGAAGTCGGAATTGTTCGCTTCCCAGAATACGTTCTTCTATCACCCGGAGTCACCTATGCCGTCAAAGTGAGTATGATGAAAAACGCAAAAACGTTCTGCGGAGAGGGCGGAGTCACTCAAGTCCAACTTCTCAATGGAGCACGTTTGTTCTTCTCTGGATGCTCAATGAGTCAGAATGGAACAACAGTACAAAGAGGACAGCTTCCGTTTCTAATGTATTCGATAGTAGATCAATCGACTTCGATTCAAATCAAACAAGAAACCATTTATGACACATTTGCTCTACTATTGAGATTGATGGCCAACAAAATTGGAGCGGCGATTTCAAATCTTGGAACACCACACGGAGGAACACTACCAGCATGTTGTCAGCATTTGGTGTCTCATATCAGTCCACATGTTATGGTCTTCATGGAAAGATTCCCAGATAAATCATTGGAATTAATGTCCACTATGGAGCAGTTGATTCCAATGGTTTCAAATTTGAATGTTGTGGAGAAGGTGAGCTACCCTCTGTCAAAACTTTTACAAAAAGTTTTCTTTTTTTTTTCAGAAATCCCACTCCTTTGACTCTGATGATAGTGGATGTGAGACTCCATGCTCTGGAATCGTCACAACCGTAGTGGAAAGTCAACATCCTTACAAGCCCAACACATCCAATTCAGTTGTGGTTCATTTCGATGAGGCCGATTATGTATGTGTCAGGTTTTCACCAGATTGTCAAACAGCCCAGTACGATGATCAGCTTACCATCTATCTGAAGATCGACGAGCATTCTTATATGCCAGTGGAGCGATGTTATGGAACAGAGTGGCCGAATTATCCAATGATACTTCCCGGGAACTGTCTTCTTTTCGTTCTTGATGCCTCATCTGCTGTGGAAGGAGCAACTTCGGATCAGATGTTTGGGTATCATGTTACTGTAACTGGCTACCTGGTTGGATACAGTAATACCACTCTGCGATTAGAACAAGATCTAGTCTGGTTGTCAGCGAACGCTTGTCGAATTATGACACAACTTCCAATCAATCCGAACAACATTGAGCATTTGAGCACAGCGGAAGATGATACGAGACACTTGTTTGAAAAGCATGGAAGTCTTTTGAAAAAAGGATTGAGCTTGAGTCATTCTCCAACTCTCAGCGAGCTATGCAGCAAAGGTCAACCTCCACCAGCTCAGTCACCGGATCTTCAGTTTCTTCGAGAATTTCTTTCCGGCCACACTTCAACATCAGCTGGTTTTTTGGCTAAATGGTTGCCAACTGGACCAGTTGTAGATCCGTCGAAATGTCAATTGTCTTTATCTCATGATGACTTGATTGTCGGAAAATCGGTAACTCTGAAACTGTCATGTAGAGATCAATACGATCGAGAAGTCGATTGTCCAAAACTTCAAGTCGAAGCCAATGCATCCCTTGGACATAAGAATCCAAATTCTACTATCACTCCGAATCTGATTCTTGGAAATCTTCCATCGTCTCTTCTGATTCATCAAAATCCATTCCAGCCCATCATCGTGAATCACACACGGTATATGAGCATCGCTGCAATGCCAGCCTATGCCAATTACTCTGTGGAAGAGATTCGATTGGGATTCATGATCGAGGACTTGATCAAAGATCGAATCCCACTGAAATCTTCTGACGCTTCTGTATTTTCTGGATCCTGGACACCTACAACCGCAGGGAGATATAGAATTGAATGCAAAGTGGATGGATTTGATATCTCTCATACTTACACAGTGGAAGTGACGGATAGAGTACGTGGAAGAGGAGAAGATGTGAAGCCGTGTAGCAGTCGTCGTGGAGCTCAAATGACTGTGGCTAGAACGGTTTCGATTCCATTTTCTAGTGATTTTTCTGGAATTAGAATGAGGCTTGGGACCACTCTAGCATCAACAGCGATTGGAGTTATTCCACGTGGCGCTTTGGTAGAATTCATAGAAGAAATCGAGAATGACGATGGGAAATGGATAAGACTAACTGACGAAACTGCTATTCTGTATGGCTGTAATCCTGGAATCGGTCAAGTATGGTGTCTCGCTTATCACAAGCCTCTTCAAAGGGAATTGATTCCACTTTCGAATGACAAGGAACGCGAGAAAGCTGTTAAACTGAGAAGGAAAGCAATTGAAAAAGAATCCAGTGGGAGCAAACATCACAGCGTATCCATAGATGCCAAAGAAACTTACATTCTCTCACCTAATGATGTTCTTCAAGTATATTCCGCTCCTGCTCCTCACTCAATGATAGACGGCGAGAAGATTAGGGGTCCCTGTGATTTGATGAGTAGTGGATGGATGGCTAATCGACATGGAGTCTGGATAAAGCTCACCGGAGTCGACAAGTATGTCCTGCAGAACAATGATCCGTCATCTGAGACATCGTTGAGTTTTTCAACAAATGGAAATGATGAAGAAGACTTGGAAAGGCTTGTGGAACGGAAGAAGACAAGACTGCCAAACGCGCTGACTCCTTCTGTGGCGGATTGCATCAGGGCAGTATTTGCAGCATTTGTTTGGCATGAACATTTGGTGAAAGATCTTATGGCAGCTGCAGCATACTTGAGATTCCATCAGAATCTGCATAACGTAAGTCTTGTCTTTTGTATTTTATTAAGGAGTCTAAATGTTTGAATTTCAGATCTGGCAGTCCTGTCAGCTCCCATCCTGCACGAACGCGCCTGCAGCTCTCCAACCAATCGTCAAAATCTGGAGGGAGATTTGTGAAGTTGTGGAGACCAGCGTTGAGCAACATCTCATCATGCCTCCTGTTTCCAACAAAGCCATGAACACTGAATCGGTGAAAGCGCCATCTACAGGTGGAGGAGGATGTGAGCTTTGTGATGCCAACATTACCGTACCCCTCACCGTCCATCTTCGAATGGCTCATCCGGGATGTGGAGGAGATTGTCTGGGTTATGGATACAACTCGAGTGGAAAATTCACAACTGGATGGTCTGGAGAATGTGGAGCTGGTGGTCGCGGTCAATCTCCGTGGTACCTCTTGTGCAACAATTGTCGATCGCAATATCTTCGAAAAACTCCAGCTGGGCATCATCAAGAACGAACAAGAAGGTGGAGAGAGTTTAGGTTTTCCACGTCAGCATCGGATGCTAGACCAGAAGTCATAATCCGGCACAATGCATTGTTCTTGTTAGACCTGAATAGTCGATTACAGACAGAATCCAATGTAAGTTCTTCGAGTTTGCTCTGTATAAGTTTTCAAAATTATTGTTTTCAGAATTCCTCTGCTGCAACCTCTGGCTGGACCATCAACCTCTTCCCAACGCATCTGAGTACGCCTTCAACAATGCCAAGAAGTCAACACAGACGTCTAGATGTCCCACAAACTCACTCTGTCCATCAGACCTCTTACATGAAACTTGGATACTCTTCGGATCCCGGACCAAAGGTCAACGTCATAATGTCACCTCCAGAACAAGGATTGGATCAAGCAGCTTCGTTGAACCATCGTCCTGCAATCGCGATGGAACCTGCCGAAGTTCTTCAATCTCCATCTGCTGCTCTCCGTACTTTGTTCTCCAACACCAATCCTTCCACATCCGCTCTTCTGAAGCGTCCTGTTCTAGCATTCTGTGTCGAGCATCATGACTTGAAAAGGATCAGAGCGGCTTGTGTACAGTCTGTAAGACGTGCTGTCTCCTTTTCTCATGCTTTCCGTGTCTGGAATTGGCTTCTCCGGATGGTGTCTTGTGAATACAGTGTATCGGATATCATTCTACAGTATCTCACCACGCTGACTTCCTATAACCGCCTAGCTGAATACATGTTCTCCGCGAAGAAAAACTCCAACGTGCTTCCTCATCCATGGAGATTATGTTTCCTAGCAGGACCCATTGCCGCTGATATGGTTACTCAACTTCATGCGTTCCTGCATACCGTATCTATAATTCTGCAGTCGGCGGATGTGGATGGGAGACTAAAGTCGTTATGCTTCAAGTCATGGACTCTTCAACTGACCGCGCAAGAGCAGGATTTTCTGATCCTCACATGCAATATTCTTGGAACAGTTGGAGGCATTCTATCGGATACATCGATTATGGATTCGGATAGTCGGTTTGTGAGGGAGATGAAAGACATCACAAAGTTCGCGGAAATCACGGCTAGCAGTCGACAGGCCATGGTAATTTGTTTGACTGATGAAAGTGGAGAAACGTTTTGGGAAAGTGGAGATGAGGACAAAAATCGTGCTCGTTCTCTATCCATCCAACTCGATGAGGCTGCTCATGGAGAAATCCTGTCACTTTATATCGACAACGCTCGTGACGATGCCTACCGTATCACTGCCATTGCTTTCAAGGCCATTCTGGAAGATGGTAGACGGAAAGATCTGACAAATCTGAATTTGGATCCTGTAAGTCCATATTTTCAGATCTTACTTTTGATGAATAAACTTTCAGACATATTCTGGCTGGGTGAAATGCTGCATCAAGGATATTCATCACATCCAGGTTCAATTCAAAGGTCCCAGCCAAGCATCCCGTATCCGACAGCTTTTGATTCTGGGGTACCCTGCCAAAATATCCGGATCCCCTCGAATGGTCCCCTCAACTTCCCATCATTTGTTTTTCAATGACACTCAACGTGACGCCTTTGCACTTTTCCAAGCAATATCTTCTCAAGCTTTTTGTGGAGAACTATCCGAGGATGACACTTTGAGAGAACGAGTTATCGATTTACTCTTTAGTAGAGTGCAACTGTATCCACTTCAAAACTACGTTTACAACCAAGTGGTCCAGGCAATGGAGAAGGAGGTCGAGTTGCTTTGTGACAAATCCAAAAGAAATTATTCCTACTGCTGTGGTTTGATGAGTCTTCTGGTTAGAATTTGTGATTCAAGAGGGAATATGGATAGTTTTGGACAACGTAACTCCGTGTTGACATCTATCACTCAGCTGTTGATTTTCTCTCCGCTGGTTGTTCAAAGGCAATGCTTGAACTCTTTGGAATGCATTTTCGCATCATTCACACCGATCAATGTAGAAGTTCCAAAGATCATCAGAAATTTGTTAGTTGTGGTTGGAAAAGTGATTCAACTGCAAGTCAGAGACAAAGCAGCTCATACAGTGGTGACAGTACATCTATGTGTAAGTTTAATATTCCAAGTTCTTTATTCTAAACCTTGATTTTCAGTCATCAGTCCTGAATGCCCCTCAAAACTGGAGAGTTGACAAATCAATCGATATGGACATCGGAAGACAGACCGCACTTCTTGTCGAGAACCTTTGTAATGGAACCTACACTCCAGAATGGTCCACGGCTACCAGATGTGAACTAGCCAACTGCCTTCTCAGCCTGATACAAATGCCGGAATCTGTGTCTTACTCAGAAACACTCTCTAACGGAGGAAAAAGCAAGGCTGTAGCTGTTGTAGGATCCAAACGCTTCTGGACAGCAATTTCTGCATTGGCTCTTATTAAGAACAAGTCATGGTTAGAGCTCTCGGAAAGATGGAAGGCTGCACAAGATGAAGAAGATGAGGAGCCTGTATCGTTGTGCGAGAACCATGATGATGGGCATACCGTTGCTCAAGTTTTCTGTGTGGATTGTGACGTGGCACTTTGTAAAGAGTGTTTTACGGTCATGCATTTGCACAAGAAGAACCGAAACCATGGAGTCAAAAACTTGGTTCAAGCCAGCGCTCAACATGATATCAATATCCATCAAGGCTGTGCTAGGATGAAGTTTTTGAATTTCTTGATCCTTTTCCACGGTGAAGCTCTGAACGGTATGGTCGAAGTAGCTGCTGACACTCTCTTCCCAACTTCAACGACTTCTATCCAACCAGCAATGCAAGATTCTGCATCCTACCTTGGTGCTCAACCAATGACGTGCCGATTCTGTGGAAACCACGTGTCAATTACGGAACAAAATCTGGATGGAACTTGTACCCACGAGGATTGTGTGAACTATGCAAAAACGGCTTGTCAAGTAATGCACAATTGTAACCACTTCTGCGGAGGGATTCGAAATGAGGAAGACTGTCTTCCATGTCTGACTTGTAAAAAATCGGAAGCCACTCAGGATGGAGATGATTTATGTGTCATCTGCTTCACGGAACGACTCGGAGCAGCTCCATGTATCAGTCTTGGTTGTGGACACATCTTCCATTATCACTGTGTCCGAGCAATTTTGGAAAGAAGATGGAATGGTCCCAGAATTGTTTTCCGTTTTATGCAGTGCCCACTTTGCTTAAAAATAATGGATCATCAAGGCCTTCAAGACCTTATCGAACCTTTAAAAGTGATTCGTCAGGAAGTAGTTTATAAAGCAAAAATGCGTCTGGAATACGATGGTCTTCTCTCAACACCAGCTCTTACTGATCCCAGAAGTGAATGTTACAACCAACCTGAGGAATTCGCTCTGGATAGGTACATGTACGTCCTGTGTCATAAATGCAAAAAGGCCTATTTTGGAGGAGAAAGTCGATGTCAAGCGGTAAGTCTTGAAGATGTAAAGGAGGTTCAAAATAACTAGATGGTTTCAGGCTTTGGACAGTTCTCAATTCAATCCAGAAGAATTATTGTGTGGTGGATGCTCGGATACCAGTGGTGTTCAAGTTTGTCCTCGGCATGGCGTCGAGTACTTGGAGTACAAGTGTCGGTTCTGTTGCTCGATTGCGGTTTACTTCTGGTGGGTGCCAGAAAGAGCAGCTTTTTATCAATTATCGATTCGACCATCATCATCTAAACAATGGTTTCAGTTTTGGTACAACTCATTTCTGTGCTCCATGCCACGACGATTTCCAACGACTCATGTCTCTTCCGAAAAATCTGCTTCCCTCATGTCCAGTTGGTCCCAAATCAACTCCAATGGAAGAACAAACGTGCCCTCTCAAAATGAACCATCCTCCGACTGGTGAAGAATTCGCGATGGGTTGTGGGATTTGTAGAAATCTTAGTACTTTTTAACTTGTACTTTATAACTTGTAGAAGTCTCAGGTTTAGAAAATATTTCAAATTCTAGTCCTCTTTTTTTTTCATCTCCGGTTTTTAGAGTCTAATTATTTTTCCGTCTTTCTCTCCATAATACCAATGTTCAAAGATTTTTATTTCACTTTCTTTTTATTTCTCCCAGTTTTCAGTACAATATGATCTCTACTCATCCATAACCATTTTCAAAGGTTTATGCCCAATAGCGGGTTCTCTCCATTTCTGTGTGTAATTTAATAATGTTGCGTACATAATAAAAGATTTCTAATTTGATTTGTTTTTCTCCTTCTTTCCAGTCTAAAGACGACCGAGTGATCACTGAGTGGCTCATCTGCCCACTCATCCTTTCTCAGCTTTTAACAGTAAGAGATGCACATCTTGTCAAAGAAAATCGAATTAGTCACTCAAATCCACCAGAGACTACTTCTTCTCCATACTTTCCCATTATTTTCGGCGATAATCACATTGAAACAAAAAACGTTGGAGCCTTCGAGATAGAATGCAGCGTCAGGAGAAGGAGAAGAGGAAAAAGAAGGACGGCTCGCTCTGGGAATGTGTGCACTCCGAATGATCATTTAGATTTATGAGATCTTCATTTTTACGACGTTTTCTTTGTTATTTCTTAGCTTCTGGTTTCAATTTTCTTTTCACTTATTACTATGATCAGTCCATTTGCTCTAATAAAACAATTTGCACCTTGAGCTCAACTTCGTTCTAATAGAAGCCCCCCCCCCCTTTACGCGCACTTTGAGCTCAATTATCTCGGTTCCCATAAGAGATATCAAACATTAACCAACTGATAAATCGATTATTATAACATCACAAATATTTCATCAGTTAGCAGATTATTGATGGGAACCAAGATAATTGAGCTCGAAGCGCAGGATTCTACAGGATGGCGCATATTTTTTACCCTGACTAAGTTTGTACTAGCATAAGACTTGATGGAAGCGTAGTACTAGGCTCAAATTTGGAATGCAACACATCAGATTTTTCATCAGTATACTGGCTGAATTTCAAACTATTTGATGAACTTTGAGCTGAGTTATCACTTATCAAACTTGCTTAGTCTAATGAAAATAACATTACTCCGTTCATCTTCGAACAATTTCAAAAACACCTAGACTTGAGGAATCGCTTTGAAAGTTTCAGTTGCTTTGAACCAAACGTTAAATAACATTTCTACCAGTTTTTGTGCTTCCGAGATATTTATGCCCAAAGATATACCCCTTTTTGATTAGGATAGGCAATCGTGCGCCTCCCTGCAACAGCAGAGTAGTTTCGACTCATTTTTTCAATCACCAAAGTTTTTCAGATTCAACACTTTATTCAAAAATATCGTTTCAACACTTCATCCATTTATCATAAACAATCCTTTCCTTTCATGCCTTGCAATCTGACAGTAACCATCGACACAGTAGACTCTACCGAATCCTCTGAACTTCTCACAATCCGATTCACTATCACACTGAGCTTTTGTGGCTCTTCTAAGACGAGCATCACTTGGGACCAGCGCCAAAATCAGAAGAAGTGTCAGTAGAAACAATTGAAATCGCATTTTAGAATAGGGGAAATTAATGGCGGGAACGGAAATGGTTTGAGAGTGATAGAGGGTATAAAAAAGTTATGGTTATAATTGAATTAGGAATCGAAATGTGGGGGAGGGGGGGAGGAGGTCGAAAAATTGATGGGAACGGAAATGGTTTTCCTGTCTTGTTTCAATGTTGTTAAGACGGGAAAATAGGGAACGATTTTTAGTTTTTGGTGATGACAAGGAAAGACCTATAATAGAAGGGCTCTTACACCCAGTTTGAGCTCAATTATCTCGATTATAGCTAAGGATATGAAAAGGTTGTCAATTGATAAACATTATCATAATATCACTTACTTTTTATCAGTTGACAGATTTTTGATACCTCTCAGCGGAATTAAGATAATTGAGCTCAAAGTGCAGTAGAAGGATTCCACTAGATTTCTGCCTCTTGAAAATCTCTAATCCAGTATATACTTGGATTCTTCCAACTTTTAAAATTTGCAAATTGAGTCCGTGCTTTTTCTTCTTCTTCTAGAAAAACAAACCACTTGGTTGTATTCTTCACCACACAACTCTCCATTCAAAAGTCTCTTCTCATTTTGTTGTTATTGCGTTTTTTGGGTGGTCCTCTCTTCATTTTTCAACTGTTTCCTTTTTTTCTTCTGCTTCCCCTCCCTTTTCTGTTCCAAATCCTTCAAAACTTTTCTTCTTCTTCACTTTCACTTTTTTTTTCTTCTTGGGGCTATTTCGAATGAAAGTGTGAGTGCATGCACATCAGCTGTCTACCACTAGTCTCCCGATATTTTTGATAGAACTCCCAGAAGTTTTTTTTTCCTTTTTTTAAGCTAAAAGCCGGAAATTGGAAACGTTTCTCACGATTTGAGAAAAGGAGTGAATAGAGAGGAATAAATAGAGAAAAGAAAACGGCATGGTTGGTTCCACCATCGGGAGAAAAAAGATCATATCTATCTAGATTTGTTCTCGAATCGTTTTGGCTGGCGGCGTGGCGCAAAAGAGAATTAGTTATTTGAAGGACTAATGGAAAATGTAGATTTTCTTAACTTGATTCACTCACTTTACTTTTTTCTACTAATTTTGTTTGTGTTGCTTGACAGCTTAATTTTTCAAGTTTCAAGAAAACTAATTTTATTTTACCATTTACCGTAAAACCTGTCAAGTTTGAGCCAAAGATATCAAAAATGGTCAACTAGTAAAATATTGGTGGTATTATGATAAACAATTTATCAGTTGACATCCTCTTGATGTCTTTGAGAGGAACCCCGATAAATTTGCTCAAAGCTCAATGTTAGGGGCCATTCTATTAGAGACTTAACGGTAACTGATTTCTCTTTGAAAAATAAAGACTGTGTTTTTTTTTTGTAATTTTTGAGATTCTAGCTACCGTAAAACCTGTATTAGAAGGGCACCGTAATAGAAGCGCCCTCTGTGAAAAAGGACATCACTTCAAATTGTGTTTCCAGTAACTCCACAATTTAATAGAAATTTGTTGAAACTCTATTTTTCGATGAAAATCTTGCTATTTATTGGTAAAATTGGCAGATATTCACGAATTTTGAACGAAACTTCGTCGAATTTTTCGTTGCTAAATTTCGGAAAAAACTGGCCGGAAAAATAAAAGGGCCCCCTGTAATAGAAGGGCCCTCCGGAGGTACCTTGGAACAGTAGAAGGGCCGGCCCTTCTAATACAGGTTTTACGGTAGTTTTATTTTAATTTTACCTCGAAAAGTTCAAATATTTTTCTCGGCCAGTATGACCTTCAAAATATGGACGAACATGGACTGTTTTCAATAGTTTTGATCTACCGATTTCGTATTTTTTGAAGGTTGCACTTTTTCAAACTACATGTATATTTACAATCCTATGATCTTTATTCCATGGTGGTTAGTAAACTTTGGTCTAGGTAACAAACTTTTTGAAAAAATGAGTGTACATGGTGGCGTACAATTTACCGGACTCAAGTTTGTGCTAAAGTTGAGTGAAGCGTTGTACTGGGCTTAAATTTGAAGAGCAAAAATTCAAATAATTCATTAGTAATTTGGCCAAGTTTCAAATCATTTGACAAACTTAAAACTGAGTTGTGGCTTGTCAAAGTTGCTTCATCTTATGGAAATCACGATGCCATTCATCTTTAAAGGAGGCCAGACACCAAAAAAAAAAGTTTTCCTGATATTTTGCATAGAGAACCCCCATGAGGGGTTGAACTCATGACAGGCAGCTCAGGGACACAGCGCCGCTACCGGCTGAGCTACGGGGACGCGAAGGCGCCTGACGACCGATGGTCTACAGAAGCGCGGCGCGATTTCGTCCCCCGAACTGTCCCCCGAAATTTTTGCTGTCTCGCCTCCTTTAAACAATCATAACTGTACCTAGACTTGAGGAATCGCTTTGAAAATTTCTGTAGCTTTGAATCAAACGTAAAGTTATATTCCTTTCAATTTTCGTGCTTCCAAGATACCAATGTCTAAAGATACACCCGTTCTTTTAGTCCGGGTAATTGTGCGCCACCCTGTAGGGATCGGACCCTGTTTTAGATAACGTTTCAGAAAACCTCATAAACATTTTTCTGGAGAAAATATTTTGAAAAATCCGGTCTAGCAATGAAATCTCAGTTCTAATCAGCTGTCTCCAATTCGCAACTCCTGCGTCTCTTTTCAAAATCCACTGGTGGCGGGTCGAATTTCACAATTTCTCATGGCCCATGGCCCCTTCTGCTCCATCCCAGACGGACCCATCCTCAGTTCCCTTCGTTTCTCTCTTTCACCCATCCTCAAACTATCTGTATCTTCTTCTTCTTCTTCTTTTTTCTTCTTTCCCACTTGGACCACTGACTCTTCTTTGTATACATGGGACACACACATACACCATTGGCGTCAAAAATCTTTTTCTTTTTTTTTCCACACAAAGTTTCATCTTTTTTTCCTTTTCTCCAGGATCCCCCTAATTATTTGTCATCCTAAATCTCTTCCTCTCTCTCTCTCCCTTCTCCTGACTCCTACACTTTTTCAATCGGAATTCATCCATCTTCTGTCAGGAATGAATGAATCTCAAAAGTCATCAATCCTGAGAGCGGGGGACCACTGTTTTTATTTCTGTTCCTCCCCAGATTTCTTTTATTACTCTCGTCCGAAATCAATGCACGTTGCGGCCGAAAATTTACTCAAAATCGCATCGTCGGTCGCACAGCGAAAACAACAAATGGATGCATGCGCCTTTAAATACCGTACCTCGGACGTTTTTTTACTTGGGGCCCTATTTGGCTGTTTTTTTCTGTTTTATAAGAAAAATAAATTAAAGATTTATAAGAATTACACAAAATTAGACAGAAACAAGCGAAAAAATGAGAGAAATTTGAGAAAATTCGATAAATGCTGAGGTACTGTATTGAAGGCGCGTGCAATAATTTTAAAAACACAGTAAGGTTCTCTCTGTGGGAGCTAAGCTCCGCCCACCGTTGTTTTCTCGGCCTCAACGTGCATTGATTTCGGACAAGAGTAATATTTCCGTCTGCTCCAGCGCTTTTATTTAGTTTTCTCATGTTTTGATTGAAAGCAATTTGCTTGATTGAACTAGAAAATAAAAATCTCCCAGACGTTTCGAACCAACTGAAAGAATTTTTCTAGTGTGTGTGTCTAGTTTTAATTGCTGGCCAATGAGCAATATGAGCATCTGACAGCTGCACTTTTCCCTTTCGTCCGTTTTATTTTTACAAATTTTCTTCTCTGTACGGTTCTCGGCAAATTTAACATGATTGTTACACGAAGTATTACATTGGAAACTATGGCAGGGCTCATTTTCGATCCATTCCTGTTTTTGATCCGTTTTTTGGTACATTTTGGCCCGTTTTTGGCTCATTCGCAACTTTTTTCAACTTTACTAATTTTTTAATAAAAAACATATTTTAAACAATTTCGAAGGTCTTCTTTTAGACCTGGTCTACCTTGATATAGAAAAACACTGAAAAAATGGAAAATATCAAAAATCTATCAACTGATAAAATGTTTTTGATATTATGATAAACACTTTATCAGCTGACAGCATTTTTAAATTTTTCACAGGAACTGATGTGAGATGAATTGGCTCAAAGTTAAAAGATAGGAGCCCTTCTATTACAGGTTCTACGATTTTCTAGAAGCCTTGAACTTTCATCCTTTAACTGTTATTTATCTTCGAAAGTACCGTAGTATTATTTTAATATGTTTTTCTGTCTGTATGGTGAATGTTCCAAACATTTTTGGTCCCTTTTGTCCTGGCATTTAGAATTTCTTCTAAAGCCCACTTGGTGACCCCAAGAAGATTCTTCACACACCACCAAGAAGACCCCACCAAGAAGATTCTTCACACACAAGTTTTTTATCTTGATTCATGTGAAAGATATCAAAAATCTGTCAACTGATAAAATATTGGTTATATTATGATAAATAATTTATCAGTTGACTACGTTTTGATATCTTTCACAGGAATCGAGATGATTGAGCTCAATGTTGACGGTTGGTTTCTATCAGAGCAAATTACAAACCGTTCTCTAATGAGCAATCTCACCTCCCAACTACCGTACTCTTTCAATTTCCGCTTCCTCCTTTGAAAAGAGTAGTTTTTTCTATTTATAAACTTTAGAAACATTCATTTCCATGCCACGAACTTCATTCAATGTATTGAGAGGAAGCTCCAAGTGCTCCTTCCCTAAGCTCTTGAAACACAAAAAAGGTCTCTAGAAGAAAAGAAAAAAGCAATTAACTAAGAAAAGTGCACACACTTCTTCATCATTTTTTGTATCTTTTCCACTAAATTATTCACGCAACAACGCTTACATGAAGTAGCAGTTCGTCGAGTGCTTCTGACACTTTTTTCATTCATTCATTTGTTTCATAAACGATTTCCGGTCTTCGTTTTGTGTTGGCACATTCTGAACCACGAGATGCTTCTTTTGGGAAGGAAACAAATTTTTCATTTAAAATCCCCATCTCCTTTTCCTCCGTTTTTTCTCATTTCGGTCATATATAGCCCACCAGAAAGTTGTCATTTTTTTTTTAGTGTGGGCCGATGTCCAAATCGGTGTCTATACCACAAGCACTGTCCGACCTGAAACGGACGTCACTCCGACGGTTGAGTAGTGCAAGGAATGGTGGAAACAAGAAAGAGAAGACTGTGACGACTTCAACACCTTTGAGTGGATTTGTGATATTGGTGGAGAGGGAGGACAAGGTGGTTCGGTTGTATGGTGAGTGAAGCCTCCCATTTGGTCGGAAAGTCGACCGAGCTGACCGATCGGGCGTCGCGTCCTCCGAATTTGTGCATTGTCAGCATGTCAGAGAGAATTTCGTTTGTCGTAAAATAAATTTCTGCGTACGTAAACACTGACTGAACTCGGTCAGGTCGATCGGCAAGCGGTCGACCGGCGGTCGGCGATTTTTGACCGTCCGTACTGGAAGCTTTTGTGACGTAAACCTACAGTAGACATATTTAACTCATATCTTCAGGTACCGCCGCCGAACGAGCCGGTCTTAGCATCGGCGATGAGATCGTCGGGGTTAATGATATGCAAATCGATGGTAAAAGCTATGAGGAGGTCACCAAATACATTCAAGAGGTACGAGTCTTTTCTTCTTCATTTAACGCATGCAGTACCGTATATTAAAATGTACAAAAACGTGTATTCCAGTTGATTTTTAACCATTTTCAGAAGACTAGAGCTCGACTGTCAAGTTTCCGATCACTTTGAAAATTTTGGAGAGTATAGAACAGACCTAGATTCAAAACTTTGTATGCATGGATTTTTTGAAATTCCTAGTTTTTCAGCTTTTTGTCGATTTCTGAAAGGAACCCATTTTTTGGCCCGTTTTTGTTCTAAAAACGAAAAAAACAGGTGTCTTTCAGTAATCGGCAAATACCTGAAATACTAGGAATTTTCAAAATATTCTGTGAAACCAAAAGTTCTCAATCTAAGTATGTTTCACGCCCTTCAAAGTTTTCAAAGTGATCGGAAACTTGTCAGCTCAGCTACAGACTCCTGAAAACAGTGGTCAAAATGGCTTTTTGCATATGTTATTGACCGGTACTGTACTTGTATATTTCCAGTGCATCCGCCGAAAAATCATCCAACTCAAAGTTCGCCGTCGTGCTCTAGAAATTCCAGCCGAAAACGAGGCGTCGGTTTTCAACTGCACCCAAACCAACCATCGGATGGTTACTGATGCTTACTTGGTGTCCGTGGACAAGGACCATATAAAGGAAGTGACAAAGCGGTTGAAAAAGTAAGTAAGATTTTGGATGGAAGAACTAATCAGGGTCAAATGTGAATAAGTGGTTTCTGTCGCTGGCGGTTCTCTCTGTTAGGTAGAAGGAGGTAAGAGGTGTTTCAAGTGCTCTGACTGCCCACATAAACAGTCGGGCCTACTACTACTACTGTCAGATTACGCTATCTTTTTTTGTCTAGCTTCGGTTCATCTATCCATCACGAAGCATCGACCCGCTTCCATTCTTTCACTCTCGAAATTAATTAATGGCCTTGGAACAGCCAGCCTGCGCGCGAGAACACCACAAAAACACTGCCTTCAGATTATGAATGTGAGCTAATTTGGAATTCTCTCTCTTTCCCTGAATATAGGTCACGCATTCTTCTTCTACATCTCGTTTCTCACAGTTAGTATCACCCTCTTCTTCAACTTTTTCATGTAATTTTCACAAGCCAATAATCTGAATTGTCAAGGTTGAAAATACCCCCGAGGGGTTCCCTTTCGCATTGTCGGAAAGTCGTATTAAAAAATTTGGTCATTAATCACAGAACCCCCCTTAAGACAGTGGCATATCGCCCTCTCAAGTAATACAGAAAGAACCTCCCATTGCGCTTATCATCACACTCTTCCCCCAACGACATTCTTTTTTTTGTGTCTCTCAGTTACAACACAGACATTCAACAATTCATCAAAAACTATCATCACTAAAAATTTCTTGCTGTGTTCTCTCTCTTTTTTTTTTGCTTTCTAGTCATTAGTTTTTTTCTCATTTCTTCTGACTTGCGATGATATTGCAAATTGGACGGGTGAGAACAGTTTTTATGAGGATTACAACACTTTGTGTTACGGTTTAGGTTTATCTAGCGGGTTGTGAATTTACTTATTGCTAGATTTGGCATGGTTTGATCGTAAAACTTAATGTTTCAACATATGTAGCTATGCTCTAAATTAATTAATTCTGAATTTTTATATTTTGTAAGGTAATCCAATATCTTGTAGTAATTTTGATAGAGCCCTTTAAACTTTGGTCATTGTTAAATCACAGTAAAAACTCTTATAGAAGGTCACTAAACGTTGAGCCCGTATATCTCGGTTCTTTTAATAGATATCAAAAACTAATCAACTGGTATATTATTCACCATGATATAACCAATATTTTATCGATTGACAATATTTTGATATCTCATATGTGAACCAAGATAATTTGCACAAGGTAAATGTTTGCACAGGATTGTGGTATGCTGTACACTTCGAGCCCGTAGATCTCGGTTCCTGTAAGAGATATCAAAGAGTTGTGAACTAATAAAATGTTTATTTTAATATTGAAAATATTTTGTTAGTTGACCACTTTTGATATCATTTGCAGGAACCGAGATAATTTGGCGGTCGAAGTTAAAGTTAGGAGGTCATGATATTAGTGTTTACCGTAGTTGGAAATTGAAGATTACAAAAAAAACTTTATTAATTTTTATGAAACTTCATTAGAATGAGAAAAACTCACTATTAGATTATTAAATTAAGGTTTTCGTGCTATAGTTTTCATTCTGGAAGAGTTTTAGGCCTAAGACTCAAAGTTAGAGAACTAAAAAAGATTAAATCTCGAAGTTTTCGAAAATCCTGCCCCCTCACTATCAGATTCTTCTTAATTTATTAATTCTCCTCGCAACCGTAAAATTTTGCTCGCATTATCGGGGGAATTCCTTCCTCTCTACGACCTCCTCTTTCGAAAAACGGTCAAAAACCGTTATTAATCGAAAACATCAAACTCCACCACCTTCACACTCACAATTCCATACACATACACACACACCAAAACCAACAAACATTGTTATTTATTGACATAAACCGTTTATTGCTTGTCCTTTCCTTTTTCATCCTAACAATTGTCATTCGAACCGTTCTCTTATTGAATTCGTTGACATTTTCCTTTTTTTTTGCCTGTCCAGACATAACCTTCACCGTTTCATCCCACAATTTACCACTTTGCACATTTCATGCCTCATAAACCATCCGTTTCCTTGGGTAGAAGAATACTGAATAACAGGTAGACACTTTTTGACTTGACAATTCTGCTTTGTAATGCAAGATTAGGCTTGAAATGTGATGAAATATTGTTAACTTGGTTTGGAAATTTCGTGTAAGGTTTCTTGTAAACTTGATAACACTGTTTGGATTACGATAACGACACAAAAAGTGTGCTTCTTTTTTGAAAAAACCGTAGCCTACAAGAATGCTTATTTGCGGTTTGAATAAGAAGGTCAAAAGATGAGACACACAATTCTTGACCGGGATTTTTTTTGTCTTGGAAGTTCGACAGTAGTGTTCTTCAGCATACTTGTAATCCGGGCCTTTGCCGGGCTTCGCGGGCCCTGTCATAACTTCTTTCAGAATCAATGTTTTCGAACCAACTTAATCAGGTATGATAGAGCTTCACGAGTACTACAAAACGGTATTATTTGGAATACTGTATCTTGTCTATGAACAGAGTTACAGAGCAAAAGGAGCAAAAAAAGCGCATAATTGACGAATATAACTTTGTTCATAGATAAAATAAAAAATAACTTTGTTCATAGATAAGATACAGAATTCCACCACAGGGCGAGAATCAGATCTCCGT